TACAAAGATCAGCATGGAAAAGGCTGTGAGGAAACAAGCTGGAGAGACAGACATGGACCCAGCCCTGAGGCGAGCAGGGGGAAGAACAAGGTGATCACTCCAACACTTGTCCCAGGCTCCCCGTGCAAAGAGAACTCGGCCAAAGACACCGTCTGTACGCAAAGATGCTCTGGGTGAGGATTTTTCTCCCTGCGTGAGGATTTTTCTCTGACAACTGAGATGGAGTGAATTAAAAGGGCAAAGCAGATCTGCAGCTCCAGTGAGTCCCAGCCCAGTGAGGGGGTTGGGCAGGGGTGTGGTGGTAGGTGCAAGGTTGCTCCCCAGCAGCCACACGGGCGCTGGGACTGAAGTCCTTCAAGTTAATTTACTTTTTGAATGAGCCAAAATGACAGGAATGCCGAGGTTGAAAGCACTGGAGTGAGTTCAAAAGACATCATTTCCACTGGGAAATAAATCCCTCACCATTTTGTATAATTAGACAAGGAAAATGAAAAACAATTTCAGAAAGAATTCCCAGCAGCAATATCCAAGGAGGAGGTGGGACGTGCATTGGGCAGGAATGCGGGGCTGGGCTCTGCTGTCACTGTTTGGCACACAAACACCACACAGCATCTCCAGAGCAGCAGGGGTGAAGGAGCTCCTCGATCACTGACCTGTTGTCCCACCTGGAGCGTGGCTGCGGGGCTGGGAACAGGACCACAGCATGGAGAGCTCCAGAGGAATCACCACCAGCCTCAGTGCACGGCCAGAGCTCCTGGAGGGCCACTGCACCCAGCCCACGTGGAGGAGCCAACAGAGACCCTGAGTGGGACACCCGCAGGGAAGGGAGTCCTGCCCCACGGTGCCAGACTGGCAGTGGGTGGAGAGATGTGACCACACTGCTGCTGCTTCACCTCTGCTCCTCTCACCAACCCAAACCCACCACCAGCACCACAGCACAGCTCCCAGAACGGTGGCAGAGGTCACTGTGGAAGCACCCAGCCTCAGACTGGGGGGACGTGGAGGGGCAGGGAGAGGGGAAAGATGCCCATGGCTGTGGAGGGAGGAACCCAGAGACCTGACAGGTTCTGAAGGTCTGTACTCTCCTTCTCTCAGTGCACCCAGATTAAACGCTGCCATCCCAAAACTATCAGCTTCTTGTGTAGGGGCAGGAGGGAGAGGTGGTTCTGATTTGGGGCTGTGCCAGGTTTCGGGGGAAAAGCCGGGAAGTGAGCACTGTCCCCATCCTGAGCAGCCCAAATGCAGGAACTGGGGGCAGGCTCGGGGGGCACGTCCCTCCTCCAGACCTCCAGTTTGTGGGACAGGGGGGAGGGCAGCCCCAGCGACCCCGCAGAGCCCTGGGGTGTGGGGGGTCGTGGCCAAGCCCACACGTCACAAGTGCCATGAGTGGCCGGTCTCAGCTGCCCTCTAGTGGGGAGCAGCTGCAGGGCACCGACATCTCTCCAGGATGGCACAGAGTCTCAGAATCATTTAGGGTGGAAAAGACCTCCAAGATCACGGAGTCCAACCTGTGACCCATCCCCACCTAATCAACAAGACCAGAGCACTGAGTGCCACGTCCAATCATTCCTTGGACACCTTCAGAGATGGGGACTCCACCACGTCCCTGGGCAGTCCCTTCCAATGCCCAACAGCCCTTTCCAGGAAGAAATTCTTCCTGATGTCCAACCTGGACCTCCCCTGACACAGCTTAAGGCCATTTCCTCTTGTCCTGTCCCTCGTTCCTTGGGAGCAGAGCCCGATCCTCACCTGGCTCCCCACTCCTGTCAGGGAGTTACAGAGAGGGATAAAGTCTCTCCTCCACTCTAGCTACAGGCTTGGCAAGAAAACCACAACCTTACCAAAATGCTTACCTTGTTCTTTGTCACAAAATACACTGTCTAATTTGTGCCTCTCCTAATCTTGCAGCCCACCATCAGCTAACATAGCTTTTATTCCTGACTCAGGTTCCAAGGAAGTTTCAGAATTACTCTGGCCTCCACCATATACATTTACAAACTTCATCACCAGAGCAGTAAATCTACAGGAAACTGACCTCAGTATCTTAATAAAACCAAACACCACTGACCCACCGTGGAGTTAGCAATTTCTCCTATTTCCAGCCTCTGTAATACCAAAGAAAACCCAAAGTCAACACAGGGGGTTTATCCAAATTAATAACAAGTGGTAAGAGTTAACCGTGCGATGAGAGTTGTCTGGAGGCTGCTCCGGCTGTGAGATACAGCATAAATCTTCTCAAGTTGTGACAAATGTCTTGGCTAATGCAGCCACATTCTATGTTTAGATCTCACTAAGATGTAATTTGACATTTGGGTTTACTTTCTTCATTATAATTAAGAAATAAACTCCAGTCCACGTTAATCTCTTCACAGCCTGAATTTGCACATGGAATTACTGCCCCCGCCATGCCAAACCTTCCCCACACTCAACAGTCAAATCAAAGGAAAACCAGACATTCTTTCCAGTAGAGTTCTTCAGTTACAGAAACAAAGTCAAAGCATAGGATGGATATTTCTAGGAGTCTAAAGGTTAAATCCTTGTCTCTTGTTCAAGGAAATCTCTGTGGAGAAGGTAACACACCCCACCCTGGTGTTGCAAGATAAGAACCCAAACAGAACAGCCCACAACTCCATTCCTGATGGATGCAGGAGGATAACTGAGGACAAGGAGGTGCCTCATTTGTCAGCACGCACCACCTTCGTCAGTTAAGTGCCTCTTGGATCTGTTTCCATATGGGCTGCATTCCCATGGCTCCCACTCCACACCTGGAAGGCCAGTTTAAGCCATTAGCATTTAAGAGCCATGAGGTGTTGCATTAACGCGCAGCCACAACCCCTGACACGCTGGATGAGCAGGCTGCCCTCAGCTGATGGGCATGATAGGGAGGAACAGCAACACACAGGCGGCACGAAGACCTGCGTGTTTTTGAAGGAGCTCTCATAACCACATTCTGGAACAGGATAATCCAGGCAGTCCTGTGCTGGTTGCCCCACAGCTCCTTTCGCACGCACAGCGCTTTGCAAGCACCCAAAAGTCTCTGTCTGCACCTCTACAGAGTGGCTCTGCTCGTGTGCCACATCCTGGTAACATCAGCAGGTCAGCACACAACTGGGTGACAATATTCCAGCAGTTCCTGTTGCAGGTGACTGGGTTTCCCATCCCTGCAACAGCAGCTCCCAGCAGAGGTGGGCAGTGGGAAGCAGGTGAGCAGGCCGGAGCAGGACAAGGGAGCAGACTGGGAGCAACAATGCACATTTTGCTCCTGAAGAAACGGAAAATATTATCTATTCGGTCTCCAGGTACAACCAGAATCAAGGCAGGGATTCATTTAAGAGGGATCAAGACAGCTGGCACCTGGAGCTGGAGGGGGTTGTCTCAGTACAGCTTCCCCAGGGCTCAAGAGCCAAGGTGGAGGAGCTGGCTGGTTGTCCCAAGCAAGGGTTTCAACAGGTGATAGAAAAAGGGAGCAGAGGCTGTCACAGAGTCATCAAATCATGGAATGGTTTGTATTGGAAGAGACCTTAAAGATCATCCAGTCCCAAACCCCTGCCATTGGCAGAGACACCTTATACTGGACAAGGCTGCTCTGAGCCCCGTCCAACCTGGCCTTGAACACTTGAAGATGGGGCAGCCACAGCTTCTCTGGGCAGGGGTAAATTGAAACAGAAGAGGTTCAGCCCAGAGATCAGGAGGCCATGATAGCAGCCAAGCTCGAGCCCAGGCAGGTTGCGCCCTCTCCTCCCTTGAATGCTCTCAGCTCCCAACCAGGTAACACCCCGAGCAACCTGCTCTGAGCAGGAGGTTGGACTAGAAATTTCCCGAGCTCCCGTCCTACCTGAATTACCTGATGGATCTACGATTCCAGGCTGGGACCTGGCTGTAATCCACAACGCAATCCTTTCCCTGAAATGCAGGGCAGCAGCCTTCCACACCCAGCCTCCCGATCTCTGAACCGCTGTGTGTTCTAAAAGCGAGTGCTTGACTAAGCCCAGCATGTGCTTTCCAGCACTCTCAGAACAACCCCACATTTCCACACCTCACCTGGCTTCAATGAACATTTTCTGTGGTAAATAAGAACCTTTCCATGGATTTGGGGGGGGGATTTGCTCAAACCAGTACCAGTCTGTGGCAGTGGGCTGTGCTGGGATGTGACACCATGCTTGCCACATGGACTCCACTCCAACTGCCAGAGCCTGACTCGAGCCCAGAGCACAGACACCCAACTCCAAACCACATGAGCTGTCACAGAACAGCCTGGGCTGCTCTGGCTCTGTGCACGGCTTCTTTTCGTGTCCTGATATGCTTTTGGCCACGCCAAGGAATGGAGGTCACAGGCTGGTCTTGGCTGCTCGGTGGTGCCGTGTGTGCCACGGGAGAGCCCCACGCCGAGCCAGGATGGGCCACACCAGCACCTGCACCCTCCGAGGGACCCACTTGGAACCAGTCAAATTTTGAGCTGGCAGGAAGGTTTGAAAACGCATTCAAAAATAAAAACTGACAACCTGCAAACCTCCAGAATCCCTTCCAGAGGTGAGGAAGACTTTGGCAGGGCAGGAGCAAGCACGGGGAACAGGGGCCACGCTCCTCCGCTCACACGAAATGTGCAATTCTCTACCAGACTGAGAAACGGCTGCCAAGGAGTCGCAGGACTCAAAAAGCCCTCGAAATCTACAGCATATTTTCTTCCACTGCTCTTTTTGCCATGTTTTCCTTTCAGCACAGCAGAGCAGCGTGTTTGTGCTGGCCAAGCCTACCCTCCTCCTCTCCACCGCACCTTCAAGCAATCCAAGCACAGGAGATACAGTATTACCTCAAATATTTAACTAAGGGATTAAACTATTCTCTTGGCAGGAGGCAGGAGCTGCCCCACGGATACAGCTCTCACGCTGGCTGGCAGGCACGGCACTGCGTGACAGCGGGCTCTGCAGCAAACAATCTGCCCCGGGCTACCAGAAGCTCTCCACAATTTTCTCTGCTTTTTGGGTACTATCTCTGCTCACCGGTTCCCGGCCATCCATTGCCTCCATCCACAGCCTCCGGTCTTCTTCCGAAAGTGCCTGCATGGTGATGACGCCCGGCCTGCAGAGAGAAGGGGGATGCCGTAAATAAACTGCCGGATGGAAATCAAAATAAAATTAAATAAGCAGAGATAAATTTCCCATGAGAAGAAGACAGAAAGAGGACAAGCTTCTTTCTAGCCAAGTCCCAGCAAATGGGGCTGAGCCCAGCCTGACCTCTCCCTGGACATGCCTGCAGGTTCTGACCAGGATCAGCAAGCAAGCAGAGGACATCTCCAATGATCAACACACCTTTCCAGTGGGTTTAGTGTAAGAGCTGGATGCCAAATTCCTCCTCTGGCCCTCAGCCAGACAGTTCACCTGCCCTGGGCTAAGCAGGTCCATCCAGCAGCAGCAGAAGGCAAGGAAGGTAACCAAGGAAGGTAACCAAGCAAGCAGGAGCCCCACACCCCAGCCCTCCATGTCCCACCACCACCTCATGCACCAGCTCATGGAGGGGACCTTCTGCTGTGAGAAGCATTACATCCCTGGAATGTTTATGCCAGCATTGCTGTGCAAGTGCCCTGACCCTGTCCATACCCTGCTGTCACAGGCAGCAGTGGCAGTGAGGCTATCCTGGACTGTGCACCCCTTCAGCAGTAGGGAAGTACTGCAGGAATCCTGTCTGCCCCAGGGTGCTGGTCCTGCCCCTGCCATCACACACACAACAGCCCTGAGCTGCCCTGTAAATCCAGTCTCCAGAAAATGATGGCTCATTTATTGTAATGAGAAGGGGAAAGGCCTGAGTGCTGCACACACAGCAGAGGAGCCAGAGGACAGCACTGGTCCGTCCCGCCCTCACCCAAGGGCCAACGCCACCACCACGCTCCTGAGTGAATGCTACATCCTCTCCATGCAAGGAGTTAAACCTCAATTACCTGCCCTGATAAGCACAATCAGCAAGGTCAGGATGGATTTAACACACAGGAGAGTGTTTGCACAACCCCAGTTATGGTGTGTGTTTGCACCGAAGCCAGTGCTGTGCTCCCACACCGTAGGCTGGCGACTCACTGCACCTCGCTCGGCTGCAAGCTGCCAGGATTTCCATCTCCACTTCCCAGCTCATCCCACAGCCAGCTGATCCCAACACACACAGCCTGGCTACTGCTGTACCTCCTCAGCATCGTGCCTTTGAACCAGGTCTCCAGCTCCTAAGGGGTGGCCGCATCCCATCCCACCACTGCTCCCCACAGCGGGGCTGGGCAGAGCCCCCAGGCTCAGTCAGACAGTGAGATATGTTCTGTGTGTCTGCTCTAGTCCTGCTGCTTCCTCCTGGGCTATTTTCAGACGCATTAGCAGAGCACAGAAGCTATTCCTGCTGGAGAGCAGGCAGAATCCCTGGCAACGGGGAGACAGAGGCACGGCCCGTGCGCTGCGTGGCTCAGCAGGCTCGGGGGGGCTGCTGGTGCTTCTCTGCTCCATGGGAACTATGACAGTGGAGAACCTCTGACACTGCTCTTCCCACTCATGGCAAAACACAAGGCTCCAGAATGGCAGAGGAGTCAGGATCACTGCTCTGGGGTCCCAGGATGCCGCGGCACAAGGTGGGAAGAGCGATTAAACCTTGGGAGCTGCCAACCGCCTGCGGAGAGCAGGAGTGTTCCGCAGAGCACGTAGGCTCTGTTCAGAACTAAATCCTCAAAAAGTGATAAAGCCTGGGAAGAGAGGTGATTTGCAACTTGCACTTCCCAAGGGTGATTCAGCAGGAGAACGTGAGCTGCACCAACAGTCTGCAGAAGCCCTTTGGTCCTTGATAAGAGCCGGTCCTCTGTTAGAAGAGTAAACATCAACGGGGGCTTTCAAGTGGTGGGTTTGGCCCGTCTTCTGTTGCTTTGTGGCACGTACAGGCAAGGAACAGAGAATTAACCCCTCTCCCTGACTCTGCTCCCTATCCAACCCACCCAGCCACTGGCTTTCAGCACGTGCAGCAGCCCAGCATTGTCCCACCAGTGGATGCTGTGTGCTTAGCCTTGCACCAAGCCCAGGTCCAAGAAAACCAGACATAATGTGCTTGATCTCTGTTAATCCCATTGGTGAGTCAGTCAATATTCACCAGCTTAGTGGTTTGGAAGTTTACTCACTTTGAAGGGAAGAGGAAACCACTTAACCATTGCCCCATCTGAGAGGGAAAATACTCCACATCTAACAGCAAATATGTCCAAAACATGGCACAAAGCTCCTTGTTGTGCAGGTACAAAGCAACTGAAGAGCAGTCCCTGGTACCTGGGGAGCTGAATGGTCGCTTAAGACAGGGCTTAAGTCTAAGCCAAGCTGCTGCTGAAGACACAGATATCCCAGGCAGAAAGCCCTGGAAGGGCTCTTGCTGAGCTAGGGAGACACAGGCAAATGAAATACTGGGATTTCTGTCTCTTTAGCCAAGACATTAAAACAAAGAATTTTAAACCCTTTATTTAGGGTACACTGGAGCGGAGTACCAGCAGAGTTTGGTTCTGGTGTGGCAGTCCTGGTATCTGACGTGCCAGGTTCCCTCAGAACAGGGCAAAGAGGTGATAACACAAAAATGTTTTTTTCTGACTCTAAACAGATAACAAACAATTCCTCTGGCTTCACTTCAAAGTCAGACTTCTTTACCAGCATAAGAGGAGGGGCTGCAAAACTGAATTAAACCAAATTTCCATTGCAAATAGCTCTGCATTTCCTCCCCCAGTGTTTATTTGCCAGGGCACCCATTGCATCACTTTCCTGAGCAGAACCATCTTCCTGGTTGTGATAAATTTAAAATGCACCCACACATTACGCCTCATTCATAATTGATGTGGCCCATGCCCACAGAGCACCCTGTGCTTACAGCCAGGTCTGATGGCTGGCGCTGGATCAGCCTCCTGCCAACACTGTCAGCATCAGCCTGGCTTGAATACTGCCTGCAGCCAGCCTCATCCTCATGGAGTCCTCACCTGGAGTCTCCTGGAAGATCAACTACTTTCCAAAGTGTGCTTGTTAGATTAGGGATATATCTCAGCTATCCAGCCATGGGGAATATATCCTGCTGTGACTTATCTCCCCAAAAGATAAACAAAACGGATCTGTCCTTGTCCCCTCCCCCAACAAATCACCCTGAATACTGGGGGTCATTTATGCAGATAATTATTTATACAGGTAATATACAGCAAATACAGATCCTGCTATGGGGCAGCTCCCATCCTCCCCCAAAGCCTGACGTGGGATCCAAAGCCTGACATGGGATGCACCGGATCCACACGGAGGAGCCTGCCCATCCCAGCCAGCCCACAACTGTGGGACAGCAAATTGGGACAGCACAATGCCCTCTTGGATCTGTCATCCAAGATGCACAAACGGGAGCTCTTGTGTCAAACAACATCAAGGAGCTGCTGATTCATTCCTGACCTGCATCCTGCATTTCCACCTCCAGGCACCAAACACCTTTGCCTTCTTCTGAGATGCAAAGTGGAGATTTGGGATCAGAAGGAACCCATTTCTAAATGGAGTGGCTGCAGGAGGGTGAGACCAGAGCAGAATATGGCAAACACTTCACAAGAAAGTATATTTTCAATATGCTACAATCTAAAAACGGAAGACTTTTCCATATGAGACCACACAGGAAATTTGAATTTTCTCAATATCTCAGCTTTTGTGACAAACAGCCTGGCCTTAAGGAGCTGTGACTAAGCACGCCGAGAAAATGAGAAAGTCCAATAGCTTTTCCTTCTTCCAGAAAAACAAATAAATAAGGAAAGTAATAGAAACAGATAAGAACTTCCAACTCTTACAGCAGCTTATCACAGTGAGACAATCTAAACTGCTGGATGAAAACACATAAGAGTGGATTAATAAGAGGGGTTGAGGGCTGAGCGGAGCCGAACATGCAGAGATATTCACAGTCCCAATCTGAGAAGAGCAAGGACCCCAGACAAGACCCCACGGCCACAGGCCAGGGCACCAGCAGCCAGATGTGGACCCAAAACACAGAAGAGGAAAGATGGAAATAAGGGGCAGACTGCGCTCCTGAGCTCAGAAAGTCTCAGTGTCCGTGTAGAGCTTAAAGCACCATCAGAAGTACAACAACCACCAGCACGTTCTGTGGGTCCCTGTGGCTGCCGACAGGAAAGGATCCTCATCCCTCATCACCAGCCCGCCTGTGACAACCCCCCAATGCTTTGTTTTAAAGGTCACTGGAAAGGCGACACCGGCAGAGGAACAAGCACAAGTTGAACTGCACGTGCTGTCCAGAGCACCGGTGAGAGCCACCGTCGGAGCCACGGACACCAGCAGAGGTGGGGTCCCTGCCAGCCACCCAGCCTCAGTACAGGGAAGTGGGGAGCAGGTCCTGCCATGATCAGGGTGGCACTCAGAGACACGCAGGTCTGTCAGGTGCTTAACCAGAGCAACAGCCTTCCTAGGGAAAACCATCTGGTCACGGGAACGCTTGGCAGGGTGCCTGGCAGCTCACTCATCCCAATTCAACCACCTAGCCACTGCCATGCCAATCCTTCTCTCAGGAAGAATTTCTTTGTGGAAAGGGTTGTCAAACATTGGAATGGGCTGCCCAGGGAGGTGGTGGAGTCACCAACACTGGAGGTGTTCAAGGAACAACTGGGCATGGCACTCAGTGCTCTGGGCTGGTTGACAAGGTGGGGATGGGTCACAGACTGGACTTGATGATTTTGGAGGTCTTTTCCAACCTCAGTGATTCTGGGATTCTATTCTACAATCACACTGCCCACAGAGCACAGTGACAAGCCCCCTCAGGAGCAGCCCAGGGGAATGGTGGTACCTGCAGAGCTCACTGCCTTTGTGAACGACCAAACCCCCATTTTGAAAACCGCCTGCTCCCAGAAAAGCCAACTGGCACGTAGAAGCACTTTGCTTCTGTCCCAGAGCAATGACCTACATTATCCTAAATGACAAAGCCTTTGTCATCAGTCAAATGGGATACTCCTCCTCCCCAGGCTCATATTGTAAGACACCGGCTGTCATCCCTGTTTACTTTGTTTACAAACCTGATTTAACGTGCAGAGACTGTAAATAAGTTTAGTTAATGAAAAAAGAGCATTAACAGTAAAACACAGTATCCATCACAGCCAGTATCCATCACAGTATCCATTTCAGCCAGACACTAGAACACCATTCTGGGGCTAATTTTGCTGTAACAAAGCAATAAAAAACTTGCTACAGTGAACAACAGAACTATTTGCAAATGCCAAGGCCAGGCTGGATGGGGCTTGGAGCAACCTGGTCTAGTGGAAGGTGTCCCTGCCCCTGGCAGGGGATGGAACAAGATGGCCTTTAAGGTCCTTTCCAACCCAAACCATTCTGGGATTCTCTAATTCCATGGCAAGGAAGCAATGCTGTAATAACAGATTAGGTTCCAGACTTTCATCTCAGCAGTGCTGAATCATCTTTATAGGAGAAAAAAACACATTTTTTTTTTTCCCCCCTAACAAGGAACAGCTCTTAGCTGTTGCTATTTAGGGTGTTATTTATAACCTCCAGCCCTGCACCCCATGCCTGAGTACCAGTTTCCCAAAACGCAACACTGACAACAAGCCCGTTTCTGTGTGATGCCTTTTTCGAGAAGGACCAGCCAAGGCTGCCACCTCCAGGCTGTACCGAGATCCAGGAGCTCCAGCTCCCGGTCCCTGTGCCTGCATCAGCACAGCACCAGGATCACACTGTAGGACACCCTACAACACCCTCAAGTCGGCATGGACAGTCAGTGAGACCAACACAGCCTCTGACACAACCTGTCGGGCCATAATTAAACAAACTGAACTAAGCCAGTGTGTGCACAGAGAGCTTAAAACACAACTGAATAGGCTTTAAGAGAGTCTGGGAGTGAAATGGACTTCACATTGTCCACACAGCACCAAGTGACATGAGGAACTCACTGAAAGCCACCGAGTCACACCTGTGAAAGGGGAGAAGTGCTGTAAGTCAAACCCAGAGTGTATGGGAGACAGAGAAGCACCTTGGGCATGTTTGCCTTCATTGTATCCAGACTTCCTGCATGGGCCCCAAGAACAAGACATCAAGTTTCTAACCTCTCCAATAGTAGAGACAATAATAAACCACCAAAAAAAAGAAGAAAACTATCCCAAAAAAACCCAGCTTGTGGCAAAAAAGCCCACAGATTGGCATTCTGTGAACACAGGCACAGCTCCAGCCAGTCCTTGGGCAGAGATACCCCATCATTTATGGTCCCACACTTGGGTGGAGATTGTGAGCTGAAGTTATTGCCTCTGCTTGGGTCCTTATGCTGGAGATGATCTCTTCCAGCATGAAATGGAAAGTGATGCTTCCAGGGAGGATAACTCCCTGCTGCCTGAGCCTGGCTGCCCTCGAGAGCAGCAGGATGGTTCTCCCAGGTGAGCCCCAGCACCTCTGGCTGCAAACAGGCCCCTCTGCACCACAAGCTCCAGGTCCTCCATGTCCCCAGAGCCTTGCACACTGCCAAGCCCCAGTAATCCCAGACTAACAAGGAAACCATTCCTCAATACACAGGATTCTGTAAAACAGGCCAAACCCTGACTGCCAGGCAAGGTGAAGGTGATCTCCAGCAAACTCTGACACTGACAGCATCACCCAATGCCCTGATGGTGCCCAGATCTATCCCAGGAAGAGGGAGACAGGCTGAACACATCACACTCCCTTTTACACATGACAAAACCTGTTGTTTCCTCTTCTTTTTAGTTTATCTTGGGAATAATCTATATTTTAGATATCTAATGAAAAATTCTGATAACCAAAGTATGCAGAGCTCCCTGTATACTGGGGAGAAGCAGCCTTTTCTTTCAGGCATCCTGTTCCCCTGCCCTCTTGGACAGGAGCAAATTCCTGCAGCAGGAACAAGTACATGAAACGAGTAATTCCTCAGGTGCCGCTCCCCTGCCATGATTACATGGAGCAGGCAGATTTTTGGAGCAGCTCTCGATCCCATGCCTGGCAGGCTCCACACATCAAGGGAAGGTTCATTTGCCTCTGAAAAAGCTGCAGAAGAAAACTATTGTGGTGGTTCTATTCTCCTCCTCCCACTTTTAGTTTGATTTTCACATTATAAAAAAATATCCTCAGGGCAGAGGAAAAAAAAAATCCCTGCGTCAGCTGAAATACTGCAGCTTTTTGGAGGAAAGCACAGCTCCAGAGAGTGGGAGGCAGCCCCGGGTTATCTTATCCCTCAGCCAACACAGGCACAGCTCCATCACCCCAACCCCTCCCTGCCACGGGCTGGCACCAAAATGCTGCCGAAGCACAAGCTGGAAAGACACCATGGGTTATTCCAGCATTATTCAACACCTCGGATTTCCATGAGCTGGGGTTTTTCCAAGATCTCCTGGGCATTCCTGCAGAGGGGAGGACAGCTGGACCACTGACAGGCACAAAACTGGGAGGACACAGACACTGAGTGGCTTTGGAGTGGGCTTTTGTGAACCATGTGAACTTCCTGCAGCGAGAGAGATCCAAGGCAGTGACTAATTCCGCTTGGAAGAGCAACTCCAGCCTGGCTTTCCTGTTTATATACATAACCCATGCACGATGCTAATTGATATGGTAACAGGCTGCTGTAGAATGAATCCACACATATCTCTGGTTCAGCTGCTAAGTGAGAAGTCACAGCAGAAGCATTTTACTCCTTCAGGAAAAAGAAGTGAATCCAAAGTGCCCAGAGGCACGAGCCAGACATCCATTATCTGGTGGACCAGCAACAGCCACGCTCCAGCACAAAAGCTGACCAACGCATACCCAGAGCTGGAAAGAGGCATCACATCCCTGCCAAAACACCCACAGATCATCTTTTCCAGACTGAAAACCATTTCCCTTGCATGGCCAGAGCCTGCAAAAGTGCTAAAGCACCATTAAAATCAGAGAGACTTGAGTAAACTCGGCACCTTGTAAACTGAAGCACCAAATCAATACACAGAGAGCATCTGGCTGAGAGAGGTGTGATTCCATGGATTAATGCTTTCCATTCACAGAGGATATGACTAAAGGAGAAGAGAAACATGGAAACTGCACAGGAAAGCCAAGTGCACATGAGCACAGCCCTTCCCTGCACACGGTCACCGTAACCCCGGGTTTGTCCTCTGGGCACTCACCGATCCACAGCTTCCACATCGAAGCAAAACCTCTTCTCGATCGAGTCTGTTTTCCGCCGTGTGCAGGATTTCAGGGTAACGGCTTCGTCTTCTCCCTGAGAAGAGACAAAACTGCAACTGAGGCCAAGAACACCTGCCTGTCCCCAGCACCCACCGCTGTCAATGAACAGGTTCAGACCAGGGGAGATTTAGGAACATCACCCTGTTAGAAATACCTGTTTATACCTCTGACATAAGAAGTAGCCTTTTCACTCTTGTTTGGACTAAAAGTTTCAGGAGGAGCCTTCCCTTCAGGATGCCCATGATCAAATCTGTGCATTAAGCATCACATAGCCCATGTTTCAGGCAGGCAGGGAGCGCTGAAACACAACTTCTAGGCAAAGTCAGCTTTATTTTCCATTACTGAATGATACACCATAGACCTGGCTGTCAGTTTTCACTCCAGGCTGCATTTTTGGCAGCATTCTGCACACAAGGACTCTTAACAGGACCAAACATGCCTTTAAATGTTTATTATATAACAAAGCAATGACAAAACCATTCTCTCATGCAGAAAATGCCTCTCTGCATCCAAGTTGTACTGGCTTTCCACAGGCTGAGCAGCAATCCAGCAGGATCCGTGTGCACTGCTGTCCTCTGCTGGAGGAAATCCTGGCTCAGCCCCTGCCAGCACAGACATTTCTCCTGCAATTGTTAAATTCCACTGATGACTCAAGAGAAAATGAATTCTGAAGGAGTTCCTGGAGACAGACACTTTTCTGTGCTCTCTGTGCTGTTCCTGATGACACCTTGGCTGACCACCCTGTTCCCTGACATCCCCATTTTTCTAGGAAACATATTTATAATCACGGAATCGTTTAGGTTGGAAAAGACCACTGTGATCATTGAGTCCAACTGTTCCTCCAGAACAGCCAAGCCCTCCACTAACCCATGTCCACACATGAGACAACTACACATCTGTTGAATCCCACTAGGAACGGTGACTCCCCTGGATTCTCACACAGAAACATCCCACCCCACCATCAGACAACCGAAACACTCTCCAACACACAGTCCTGCCTCACCATCCCCTCTCCCTTGCTGATCCTTTCTAAAGAGTTTGCAACCATCCAGTTGCACCAGTCTTCCTACCATGTCTCCGGGATGGCAACTATGCCATAGTTTTCCTGCTGGCTTCCAGCACCTCCCGTTCCTTGCCCATGTTGCAGGACATGCCACCTTTCGGGGAAGAAGCCCTAACTCCTATGTGACCATTCTCATGTGCTTCTGTGGCTTCTAACACATGAATAACCCTCGTGTCCTAGACAAGGGACCCAGAGCAGACTCAGGAAGACAGACCTGAGAGCTTCCTGCAGGGCATCTCCCTAGGGTTCAGCAGAGGCCACCTGCCCCTGGTCCTTCCCAGCCTGGCCTGCTGCCAGCACCAGGCTGCTCCCATGTTGCCCAGCTCCCTGTCCAGTATTCAGGGAATGCCCCCATTTCTATCCCACTAATACCCAGCTCCAGCCACAGCTCAACGCACAGTCACGAGGGGCTGATACCATGAGCAGTGTCCTCTGTGACCCACGAGCCATGAGTCTCCTCCTGCAGCACCTTGGCACCTGCTCCAGCCAGACCATGAAATTCCCTGCAGCACAGCCCCCAAGTCCCTGGGCTGCTCCACGCTTGGATGCTCATGCCACTCATCACCAACAGACCTTGGGGCCCAGCCAGAGCTGCCCTGGCACAGGCAGTGTTTCATGCCAGGGTGGTACAAGTCACAAGTCTCTGGGTGAGCAGCCACAGTGGCATGGCTGGCACAGCACTGGAGTGGGGCTCCTGCAAGGTGTGAGATGGGCAGTGCCTGTGCCCCAAGTGCAAGGGGAGCCCTGGAATGGGAAGAGCCCAGATGAAACACTGTGCAGCCACTGACGATTACAGGGCTGGGATATATTAATGTGGAGCTCTAATGAAGATGCTCCAAGGCAAGAGGAAATTAATTTTAGAAGCTGCCCTCCCCACAGCAGGAAGCCATGTGGGAGCCTGTCCAGCTCCCGAGGCGCTCCCTGGCAAGGGAATTGTGTTTGCAAACCGTCCCAGCTGGGAACACTCCGGAGGAGTCTATTGTTCCTGCAGTATAAAGGAGCAAAGCCAGTGCTGGATACAGCCCCAGGAGCAGTGGGCACATGGTGTTTGCTGGTCCCCCACATCCACTGCTCCCCCTGCTCCTCACATTCCCTCGGGGCTGAGGGGAACTCCAGACTCTCCTGCGGCTCTGTCCAAAACAAAACAACTTCACTGGCCAAGTCATAGGATCATCAGAGAATCACAGAATGGTTTGGGTGGGAAGGGAACTTAAAGCTCATCTCATTCCAATCCCCTGCCATGGGCAGAGACATGTTCCACTAGACCAGCTTGCTCAGAGCTCCATCCAACCTGGACTTGATTAAGTTATAGGCACTGGGGAAGGTGCAAAATAATGAAGAGGTTCTCTTGTCCAGGTCTTGGAGCAGGAATGAGGGACTGAGAAGCAGGCACCAACGGCACTGCAGCATAGTGGGTTCATATGGCAAAGATCTGAGGGCTTTGGGGGGTTTGTTGACTTTTTTCTTTCTCAAACAAGGTGCCAAGTTAATTCCCATATGGCACCTGATCAGTGAAGTCCCACTTCACTGCACTTGTGCCACCTTGCCATAAAGGTGACACAGTCTGGCTCCCAGGAGAGCCTGCAGCCAGCAGTGCTGCATGTTTCCCAGGAGAGCCCTGGGACAGCATCCTGCTCCATGCCAGCACTCACCCCTTTTCCTCCTGATTTCTGGTCAAATGGCACCATCGTGATCCGCTTCGATTCCCTCTGGTACGTGCAGTAATGCTTCACCCAGGAAGTCCCAAAGTGACCTACAGAGCAAATGTAGTTTTTATTCCCAGAACCAGTGCCCTCCCATTAACAACTTGCTATGTTTAATGATCATTTAACATGACAGATTCCTATACCTACACTTTCCAGTTGGATTAAGTGTTATCACCCTCCTTCTGTCCAGGGGAAAGACTTTTACGAGGCACTGGCAGTGACTCTCCCTCCCAGAGAGAACCCAGCTCCTGTATTCCCACCTTAATATCCCACCCATTAGGCCAATCTCTTTCTTTCAGGGATTCTGTACTTGCTGAACCAGCCTTCATGTCCTACACCCCAACAAACCCCTTCCCCAGACTCCCACCCACCACATTCCCTATCAGGCAGCTCCGCCACCCCAACACCTACGCTTCTCCTGCACGTAGAGATAACCCTCCATCGTGTAAGGGCTGATGTTTTTGTGCTCGTGAGGATTCTCCTTCATCTTCTTCATCAAAGCTTCAACCTCTGATCTTGTTCCTTCAAAACGGTTTCTTGTCTGCAAATTAAAACAGGAATGTCTTCCCCAGTGCATGGACCCACAGTGGGCTCTGCAGCACAGAGGCACCACAAGGAGTGGGACCTCAACTGGATCCTTACAGCCATGTGGGAAACAGGACAGGGGAGCCCACTGACAACAACAGGACAGGTTTGCTTCCTGGGCCTGAACTGAAGCTAAAGCAAAAATATTATCGTAACTCGCAAGGGGCTTCCAGTACTTAAAGGGGACTTACAAAAAAGAGTGAGAGTGACTTCTTCAACGGGCAAATAATGATAGGACAAGTGGGAATGAATTTAAACTAGAAGAGGAGAGATTCAGATTGGATGTTAGAAAGAAATTCTCTGTGAGAGTGGTGAGGCCCTGGCACAGGTTGCCCAGAGAAGCTGTGGTTGCCCCATCCCTGGAAGTGTTAAAGGCCAGGTTGGACAGGGCCTGGAGAAACCTGGTTTAGTGGATGGTGTCCCTACCCATGGCAGGCAGTCGGGACTAGATGAGCTTTAAGGTCCCTTTCAACCCAAGCCATTCTGTGGTTCTATGACTAAAATACATCAAAAGGCGAGTTAGCTTGGCTGGACAGTGACAGCAATGGGCACGTGGCACAGGCACACTCACGTTCTGGATGCTGATTGTCAGCTCTGTCTTGAAATCGCTGAAGTCCTTCGCAAGCTCGTAGCCGTGGTGGTAGAACGTGAAAAGCCCCTGCAGAAATGCCAGCAGCTGTTTTGGGGCAAAACGAATGAAGATGGTCAGTGGAGACCCACAGCTGACCCCAGAGCTGCTGCTGCCAAGGGGAAGGGGTCCTGCAGCCCCTCCAGGCAGAGGGGCTCACTGGTGGGCCCTGGGGAGACGCCCTGCTCCTCATTTCACTTTCACACCTCCTCTGAATGGGCCCCGAAGCCAAGGCTGTGTTTCCCCTCCCCAGAGTCAAGGCAAGACCCCAGCCCAGGACCCCACACAACTCTGTCCCCCTTTCTGCATCACCCAGGCCCTGGAGTCACAGGGAGCACAGCCAGGATGTCAAGCACAGCAGGCAGCACACTGTGCCTCTCCCAACTCCAAGTTACTCCTGGATCAGCAGGAATCACCTTTGCAAAGAACTGGAAGGTCTGGCCTCTCCCAGAGCCGCTTTAAAGGACTTAACACCTGGACAAAGGTACATTTTAGAAAATATTTTTTTCCTTATTTCTGTCACTTCTGCACTCTTCTTTCCTTGTGAACATTAGTTATAATTTGAGGTTTTTTCCCAAATCAAAAGTGTTTTTCTTTTAATTGTTCAGGCCCCTCAGCCTAGCCCATTCCAATAAGAGTGTCTCCACAATAAAAAATTAAATATTGAAATGCTTCCAGCACACACATGGCCACTGAGCCAATGGTTCTGTGCCCCAAGGCTCCCATGGTGTTTTCGCCCCTCAAACCTCCCTCTGTAAGAGGGGCTGTGGGGTGAGGCTGGAGGCCCCAAGCCTTCCCACCGCAAGAGAACCCACACCACAGCCCAGCTCCCCATTTCACCACACAATCCCCTGGTCTTTGCAGGCTGAGGGGGCTTGAGCACTCACTTACAGGTTCCACAAACTCAAACATCTTCCTCTCCTGGACCTCTTGCACCTTGAAGACGTACTCTAGAGAGACTTCGTAGAAATGCTGGCGAACCTGGTCCACCTGGCTGTCTGCCTGCAGATGGATTGGAGAGGAAACTCAAGCTCAGTACCGAATGGAAACACTTGACCTTCTGACCACAGCACACCTGGGTCTGATGGCAACGTGGCCGTGCAGAACAAATTCAGCTTCAGCCCCCAGTCCTGGATTGGCCAGATGGCATAGTGATAAATATAAACCTGATTCACATGAACATGCTCTTCCTTCAGACGAGAAAAATGTTTTTGGTGACTCATGTTCTCACCTCCCCGACAGCTGTGCAGAAAACACGCAGGAGAGGCGAGGAAAATGGGAAATCATTGCACACTTGACAAGAAAAGGCAATCCTCCACTTTCTGGAAAGCACCATGACGGAATCTGCCAGAGCATCCCAGGGCAAAGGCGGGTGGCACATACACCCACCACCAGCATGTCACTTTGGTGGATCAGCAGACAGCAAATCCCCTCTGCTTTGAAAGCCCAAATGAGCAAAAATAGGGATATGCCCCAATCCCAGTGCCTAAAAATAACCTGGTCACACACACGGAGTGGAGCTGCTGCACCAAAAGCAGTGTGAGGGACACAAGTATCCCTGGAATGTGACACAGAATCTCCAAAGTGGTTTGGGTTGGAAGGGACCTTAAAGACCATCTTGTTCCAAGCCCCTTCTATGGGCAGGGACACCTTCCACCAGTCCAGATTGCTGAGGTGACATTTTGCAAGTGACACTTCGCATAGAGCAACCCAGGGTGTCACTGGGGTTTTGCACTCACAAAATCCAGCTGGCAAACACCCTCCTGGATGTGAAAAGCAGCTCATTCCTGTGACACACCCATGAAATGTCCTGTTTTTCTCACTGACCTGCCACCATTTTTTGTGCCCACAGGGTGCAGGCTGAGGGAATCAGCAACCTGAGTTCTGAAAAGCAGAAAACATGATGTAATCATGTAGCTCTGCCAGGAGTTAAATGGCAAATTAGACTCTGCATGTTGTTTAACTGGTCAACAGCCAAAGCAGCAGAGAATTCCCATGGCCTCCTCCTCTCCCCGCCTCACCACAGCAGCTGCACATGTGGCTGCTATCACCCTCCAGATGTGGACAGCAAGAGGTTAGGAAACAGAAACCACCAAATCTCCTGCACACAAACACTTGTCTCAGGACATGCGGGGGTCCAGTGGTGCTCCAGACTCTCAGAAACAGGTGGTGTTAATTCCCAGAAATCCTGCAGCCACCAGCACCTTTCCTGTGCACTCACCTGCACCACCCCAAGAGCCACGTGGCCAGCAGGGATGGTGATGGGCAGCCCCCAGGGAGGTGCCAGATGGGTCCAGTGCTGCACCACGCCATGAATGCCACATCCACGTTTCACAACCCTCATGCTGGATACTCTTTCAAAGGCATTCCTCTTCAATGGGGCCTGAGCCATCAAAACCATGTACACTTGCCAGTGTCTCAGGGAAGCAGGCCCCAGCACCCGAACTGGGAGCTGGTTCCAGCAGGCTCCAGCCTCCCTCCTCCTGCCTCTCCAGCAACAGCCCAAGTCAGTGTCTGGGGTGGGAGATGCCACCAGATGGCACCAGCAGCCAGCACTGATCCAACACACCTGCACAGCATCCACACACAGCCACTGCCTACATCCTGCACACATCCCCACACAGCCTCCACCTACATCCCACCTGCATCCCATACTGCGTCTCCGGGCAGCCCCGCAGGGCCATGCTCTGTCCAGGGCACAGGATCACACCTCTAAAAGCCACCATTGTACCCTGACAGCCATGAGTGGATCCTTCTCTCTCTGGACAGAATTCTTTCCACTCCTGTGCCCCACACCAACGTCTTAAACACAAACTAAACCAGGGGTTCAGTGGTCATTCAAAAGCCATCATCCCCTGGGACACAGGGGTGCTTCCATACGGGAAGTTATTTACCAGCTGGCTTTCAGGCATATCTTCCTGCATTCTGACCCCTCCTCAGCTCTGATTTGGTGGAAGATGATTATCTGTGCCACAAGTATTTCTGCTCTCAAGTTCCCAGCTCTACTGGGCATTGTCCCATCACCTGTGTTGTCCTGGTGCAGGAGCCTTGTGCCCACCAGTGCCCCCAGTAAGGGATCAGCAGCACACCAGCACCATGCCCAAAGGCAAGGGCATACATACTGAGGGGACCAATTGCAGCATAGGGAATTTCAAACTTGGAAGAAGTGACTGAAAACTCAGTGTAGTCATCCAGTAAGAGCATTTGGCACCACAGCAACCCACATCCTGAGTCAGGGTTGGCTCCTAAAGCAGTTTAAGGCACTAAGCCTGATCCCTCCTCCCCTGGAGCCCAAAGCAGCACAGCCACTTGCAGAGGAGATCAGACATCCTTGATTTGTGCTGGCACACGGGAAGCCTGCAGCAGAACCAGTTCCCTTCTGTTACACTCTTTAATTATAAACCCTCTCTCCTTTTTGATTGCTATCCCTTTTGGGATCTCTCTGATTTACTCACCAAAACAGCTCCATTCCCTTTCATTAAGGAAGAGGGGAAAACCCAGCACTCGCAGCCAGAATGAGGGAAAAAATGAGTTTACAGTCAAGGGAACCATTGTTATAATCTGGGGAAGGCATTCAAAAAGCTCTCCACAGTGACAGCCAGACATGAAAACCCAGAGGTTGCTCTCACCTCCTGAAGCTGGGATTCCTTCTTCTTAGAAGACAAGTTCAAGTGCTTTTCTAGGACACCACAATACTTCTCAGTCTCCTTGTCATATTTCTTTTTGGCGTCCTACAAAACAGAACAAAATGTGTGTCACTGAACACAGCGGCACTGGATTAGCCGTGAGGACCCATGGCATGCCTACAGCACCCGGTAGGACAGCACATCCCAGCTGGGAGTTAACATCAGACAGGACCATGGCCTGGGGGCATCAGCTGGAAGCAGGTGAAGCTGCTTTTATCTGTCAACATCAGGCACCTACAAGAAAGCAGCTTATGCTGCCAAAATCCAAGGCTTGAGGGAGCCCCTCCTCTACTTCTGGGGACCAACGCTTGGTAAAACATCCAGACCAGGCCTGGTCCAAAGACAACACAGTGAGGAAAGTGCTTTTGAACTAGAATATTATCACAATTTCACATCCCACCCTTGTCAATCCTCGCAAGAGCTTCTCCTTCGTGTCACTCAGGACTATGACACAGTATGGCTGTTTATGGCAGGAGCGTTAAAAAAGGATGTCAACTTCACTTTCTTTTGTACCTCCCATCCCAGTCAGGCAATCCCAACACACCAGTACAAAACCCATGCCGGCACCTGCTTATAACCAGCTCCCTTCTGGAGGACTCCTCTCTGTCTTTTGTTTTCAGCTGCATGAGGCAGGGCAGCACTGCTGGGCTGGGCACCCTGCTGCCGTGCAAACGCAGCCCCAGGCACTGGCATGAGCTTCTTGCAGGCAGCAGCAGGTTGTTATAACAACAGGGGAGCAGCAGACAGTGGTTTTCATTTCAGAACAAAGGCAGGAAAGAAAGTGGGGGGGTCAGGCTGTCTCACAGCCACTCTCAGCCACACTGGCGCTTCCCCGTCCTGCCAGAAGCCATCTGAGTTCCCGTGCAGCCACCCAGTGACACACCAGGGTGGGGAGTGCAGACCAGGGAGTTTGGGTGATTGGGAACCCCTCCAAGAAAATCCTAATTCTTGCTTGGAGTAAGGAGAAAGCTCACTTCAACTGGTATGTGATTTTTGGCCCTCGGCATGTTACTTGGTTGTGGGTGAATGCAGAACTCCCAGGTGAACTCCTGGCTCTTCCCGGGAGCTGGTTCATCTCTGTGTCCCTCCCACAGCAGCACATTGCCTCCTCCCATGCCCGTGCCCATCCCTGCAGTGTGCCAGGTCCTGGCCACCTCTGTGCTCCTCTGCCTGAGCTCAGGCTCCCAGAGGGGACAGTGGGTTGGTTACCTTGGCGGCCCCGATCTGCTCCTTGCGGAATTTCTCCAGCGGCGTGATCAGCACCTCACTAGCATTCTCGATCTGTGGGCAAAGACAGACACAGCTCTGCTGACCTGTGCTGCTCAACAGCCTTTCCACAAAAACCCTCCCACAGTCCACAGACACTCACAGGCCTCACCCCTCCAGCTCTGCACTGGCTGAGGGGCTTGCACCAAACCTGTGAGCCCTCCCAGCACCAGCACCGCCCATTTTCCAACAGCAAGACTCCATTTCTGATGCTTTTCAAGTGTTCCCCGGCCAAGGCCACCCTCCCCTCCCTCTGCTCTCTGCTGTGGCTCTGCCATGGGTGAGGGAAGGAGCACCGGGGTGGCAGCCACTGTCACCTCAGTGCCCAGGGTGCCACAACAGAGCTGTGGGCAGCAGCAGTGGTGTCACCATCCCCTGCTCCCGGGGACAGACGGGGCCCTACCATGCGCATCCGCTCGTCCTCCAGGTTCCGCAGCACCGTGGCAAACTCCTGCAGAGACTTGGCTGGAAGGGATACAGTCAGCATTTAACATTCAATTTTTTAAAAAAGAGAGAAACTGAACAGTTGGGTTTTTTTGTCTGTCTGTGTTTTGGGGGTTGGTGGTTTGGGGTTTTTTTATCCTCTTTGCTCTCTCCCTAGAAAGGTTCCAGCTGCCTATGTAATGAACTGGCAACAGAGCAACCCCAGGACCATATTCCCACCTCCAGAAAGCAACACCCTAACCTCAAACCTGCCCTAGCCAACAGCTGGTCACTGACCAGCCCCATGGCACAGCACCGGTCTCAGCTGTACCCAGGGCACAAGGGACAGGTCACCAGCACAGGGACCCGGAGCCAGTGAGGAGCTATTTCTGCTGAGAGACCAGGCACAAATAAACAAGTGAAGTTAAATCAGGGCTAAAGCTCCTTTGCTCTCCTGGCTCCAGACGATGTGCACAATAAGCTCTGAAAGTCCAGCTAGAGCAAGAGCAGGATAATGGGGAGAGGGAAGTGGCTGAATCTGCTGCCCTGTGTCAGGAGAAGCTCCATGGTGGAGCGAGGCCCAGTTCAGGGAGCACTGCCAGGCTCAGCACTGCTGGTTCCCACCAGCACAGGGCCCTGTGCTCCTGCAGCCAGCAGTGAGACTGCTGCTCCTCTGCTTCAGGTCACAGCCCCTTGCAATGTATGGAGCCACAGCCACACCCAGATCCTGCTCTCTAATACAAAAGGTCCAGATAATCAAGATGGTTTCAGATACAGGCAATCTTCTCACTTTCTTATCTGGCAGTGACAGATTTAGGCCAAAAAGAAACAAGTGATTCCCTGGGAAAGGCTTTGCTGATGTTGAATCAGGAGGAATATGCCATTTTCAGAGAGCAGGAAAGCACACAAATTCCTGCACGCCTTGGTTTCCCCCCGTGCCCTGCTGAAGCATCTGGAGAGTGGTCCAGGGCACCAGGAGTACCAGGACTCACCTATGCAGATCTCATCATCCGTTTCAGCGTCGCCGATGCAACGGAATTTGAACTCATTGAGGGAATCCGCAAACTTGCGCTTGGCAGCCGACAGATCTGTGAGAGAGTGGGAGCAGGGAAAACAGGGATGTTAGAAATGGAAAAGTCCCCCAACAGCAGGATACAGGCAGGCACGTAATCCCAGCTGGCAAACACGCACAGAGGGACCCGTTCAATGGGACACAGAGAAACCCCAGAGCACCTGGGTCCTTCTGCCCTTCTGCATCCACCCCAGGGACAGGGCCCTACAGCAGATGAAACCTCAAAACACCACGAGAACACCATGGGAGCCCAAGCCCAGAGCCACGGGGCAATGCCAAACGGTGACACACAGTGACACTGCCCGTCAAGAGATGGCACCTCTGCCAGGCTCCCAGTCCTGCTGAGGGAAGGCCCCACAGACAGGCAGTAATGCAGAGGTTCATTCTTCTTCCCAAGCTGCAGATTCTCTCTGAGATCTGGATCCTATTAAGTTCTTACTTGCAGCGACCTGAGTGGATCCAGGACTGGCTTTTCAAACCGGCCCCATAACCCAGCACATGCAGACACGGTCCTGGGCACCACGAGGCCACTGGTTCCAAAGGGAAGACACAATGCTCAGCGCCCTGAGCATTTCTTCACTCAAAGCCCAAAATTCAGTATTTTTTTTCCCCCTTTCCAAGCACCGGAGGAAAACATGCCTGCACACAAAGGCTGTTTCCTCCTCTCAGACACCGACAGCCAAGAGATAATCACAGCAGAATCCAAGTGTTTTGCTTTTCCCATGGGATAAGGCACTTGGCAGCTTTCTCCAAGCATGAAAGCTCTTCTCCCAGTATTCCTGCTGACAGGCCTGGGGTTAATCCTGCCCAGTTCAGTCCTGGCTGCCTTCACACAACTGCTTCCTAAGGCAGCAAAAAACCACCAAGACACGGCAGGCAGAGAGAGGGAAGACACCAGGAGCTTTCTCAGTGGAAAAATTCAGAGAGGGGCTTCTCCAAGAAGGTTCACACATAAACGGATTTGCACTTTGCTCCCTGGAGGATGGAATGAGCACAGCTTACACCCTGCCAGTGCCTGGAGCTGCTGGGAATCTCCATCAGCACCTACAGATGCAAGTCACATCTTTTTCAGGGGCAGTTTCCCCAGGTGCTTCTGTCAGGGTTGAAAAGAGAGACTCGGGGGTTGGAGGGTTTGCTCCAGCTCTGGGGCTCAGTGAAGGGCACTGGCACAGTCCTGGGCAGCTCTTCCCACTCCCCACCAAGGGCTCATGCTGGTGCTGGGGGGCCTGGGGACTTTCACCCAGTCCCAGAGCCAAGTGGCCTCCTGCCTCCTCTGGAATAATAACAAAGATGACGTTAATGACTCAAGGAGCCACTTCCTCCCCCCCAGCCCCTTGCTGACTGGCAGCCACCAGCCACACTCTCTTCACACATAGCGTGGCTTCCCTGAGCTCTTGGCCATGTTACATGTGACACATGCCCACGCAAACCCAACCACATGTGACACCCCTTGTGCCCACTGCCAGCTGGGCAGGACCCCAGAGCCAGAGGCTGCTGCAGCACAGGGATGAACACCCAGAGAGAGCCAAGCTCCCATGGCCCAGGGCAGGGTCACCATCCCTCCCACTCAGAGTGAGGATGAGGTCGGGGCTCTGGGACCAGGCAAGAAGCCCTTGGAGCCAGCAGCACTGACAGCAATAGCCCAGGGTGCTTATAAATAGGCAAGGGAAAGGCAGGGGGTGATGGAGATAACTCCCAGTGCAACAGCGATAAAGGATAAAATTAGCAGCAGGATCGGCCAGAAAGGGAGAAAGGGGCACCCATGCCCGCCCTGTGGGGCTCTGTTGTCCTCCCTGTCAGACCCACCCACACCCTAGCATCCCCTTTTCCTATAAGTTGGAACCTCTCAGCTACATTTGGGGAAAACCCCTCCAGTGGAAGCTGGAACACGTGGCGAGAACAAGGCAGCCCCTCCACAGGCCAGCTCAGCTCCTGAGGGTTCTTCTTCCCTAGGGCTGTGAACAAGAAAACCCAAAATCCTACAAAGGCTCGACAGAAACTTCTGCTTCCTCTCATGCACGGGTAAAACCACCCAGACACTGCACATGAGTCACAGCTGGGCTGTGCCAAGGGCTCTGGAAGTTTTCCTTCCAAGTTCTCCACTGGCTTGATCGATCAACTGCAACATCAGGGAAAACCACCACAAAAAACCTGAAAAATCCTTCTGCCTGAGCAACACAACCAGCTCGGGTCACAGTCCTCCTCCTCATCTTCATCACCTTCTACGGCTCCCCCTTCTCATCAGTGCTGCTGGGGATGGGATGATTCCCTTCGGGAAAGTCCACTTGACAGGAAGCAGGCACACTCACTACATGCCAGAGGCCCAGCTGCACAGCTGTGGCAAACAAGAACCTAAATAAAATGCCCTTTTAAATGTGATGCATCCTCCCCATCCACTGAATCCTTGACATCCATGGCATCCTCGACATCCACCACAGGAACAGCAGGAAGGAGGATGGCTCCCAGCAGGACAGAAGGCAGCAGCCTCACTTAACCCCTTTGCCCGTCCCTCCTCCCTTACGCCCAGCTCAGGGGTCACCCCACATTCCTCCTCCCTCTGCGGCCAGGGAGCCAGGTAATTGCTGGCTGGATTCCTGTTCCAGCCACACATCCCCAGGCTCCCTCCAAACCCAGCTGAAGCCAATGCTACTCCAGGCCCCAGCAGCCCTGCAAGGGATCAGCAGCAAGGGAGCCCCTCGTGCTCCCTCAGACCCTCCTCCTCAGCTACTGAGGGTCAAATCTTTCTTGGAAGCGGTTGCTGCGCAAGAGGATGTCAGGCAACGAGCCTGACGTGCTTGGTTTTTACATAAAAAGCCCCTTCCAAAGGAATTTGGAACTACTGGGAAAGGCCGTTTCTAGAAGGAAGATGTGATTTCACAACCCCCAGCAACAACGGGATGACCCCATCCCAGCCAGGTCTACAGCTGGTGCTGCAGAGGGGCAGCCCCCAGGACATGCTGCTGTGAGATGGGGCAGCTCTGCTCCCCAGGGCACAGGTGCCTCATCTAACGTGTCCCTGGTTCAGGTGATCTGGCACAAGGAGCCTCTACCACTTTAAAAAAGTTAAACCACAGCCTTGCCACAAGCCATTCTCTCCTGGTCACTGGCTTCCAGCTCCTTCCTCAGCTTTATTCCTCAGCTGGACACCTCACCTCTGTGCAACACCCCTGCCACACCTCCCTCTGAGTGTTTAAAACCTCTTCAAGCTTTTCCAAAGGGAACAGAGATAAGCTGTGCTGAGAGCACGGACAGATAAAGAGCAGTTGCAGTTCCCTTAAACCAAAACTCATAAGGAGTAGAAAAGAAATTGGAACTCTTCCACCTGCATGTTCTGGATGGACGGCTGGGAAACGTGACCCAGGACACAGAGGGGAACTGCAACACAGCAAAATGAGATGTCGAGCAGACAAATGCCTAGTCCTGCTGCCTGGTCCCGTGTTGGAAAGATCAGGTTGGCCAGAGAAAAGTGAAACTGCTGGCTCAGAGGCTGGGGCTCTCCCCACAGCTGACTCTGCAGCCAGTTTGCTACGTAAGCTGGAAAAAGCAAAAGGCTCAGCTGGGCCCAGGACAGGGGCAGGAGCAGGACGATGCCGTGGGTGGTTCAGGTTAAAGATAAACGTGCTGCTGGGTCTGACCACGAAGGGTTAATGCTGCTGCAAAGGGGAAGCAGAGGATGCTGCTGCAAGGCAGGCTCCAGACTCTGACAGAGGCTGTGCTCACACAGAGCAGGATTTCTACACTTCCTGCAAAGAAAATTGCTTAATAGCCTATATTTAATGTTCAAGTGGACAACAGGAACCAGGACTCCTGCCCCTTCCTTCCCCCGTGGCAGGGAACAGCAGGAACAGCAGGCTCAGGCTGCATGTCCCCTGCAAGCCCCCACAGAGGGACAGGAGGGTCCCCAGTCCCCTGCTCCTGCCAGCAGTGACACCGCCCATGTCCCCAGATGGGTCTGCCCTGGGAAACACCCCAAATGCAGGAGCCCAGAGAGAGTAGATCTGGGGGTCACCACCAGAGACCCCGCATTTGGACGAAGCAAAAGCAGGACACAGCACTTGGCCACTCTTGAGGCACCTCTGCAGCCCCACAGCTCCCCAGCCACGCAGCCGGCACAGAGCACCCCCACGGCAGGCAGGGGCCAGCCAGGATGGGTAATCCAGGGAACAGCTGCTCTAATCAGCAGCCAAAACAGCCGGATTACAGCCCGCCAAGGGTGCTTAGAAAGCAGCAATATGGTGTCTATCCCCACAACAAGCACCCAGTGAGCTGGGGCTGCCGGCACAACGCCAGAGTGAGCCACTGTGGGGTCACACGACACCTCCCGGTGCCCAGGGATGGGGGTTGGGAACGACTGAAGCTGGGAATGGCCAACTGGACCTGACCCATAGATGCATGCGAGCACTCTGCATGGGACACTGTCCAAACCTGGCCCTGCAGTTCACACAGGAATCTAGCAACAAGCAACTGGTGCCTAAAAATCAGTATTTGCAGCTGCCAGCATCAAGTTTTACCCTCCAGTCCCAGCCCGTGCACTGCAGGGGTTGGCACCAAGCATCAGGGCAGCATCGTTAAACACTTCATTTGCTCCAGGAGGTTTAAATCCCCTCTTTGCACTTCCCAGCGAGGTCAGCAAAGCCCTGCTCCCACGAGACACCGCAGTCCTCTGGACCCAGCCCAATCCCCAAGTCCCTTCCATAGAGAATTAGCACTGATTTGTTTATTAAACAACTCCACTAGGCAGTTGGAGTTAATCAGTGATTTAGGATGGGACAGCAGCTGCTGGCAGGTTCCCCCTCTGAATCATCATTGAGTAAATACATAAACCCAGATGGGCAGAGCCTACCCCACCTCCAGTGCAGCTTCTGCTGTCATGTTCCCACACAAAAGCCCATGGAGAGGCTGCCCTGGCTCAGCACGTGTCAGACATGGAGGTCTGAGGGTGCCAAAGGCAGTGAGGTGAGGACAGTGAGTGGTGCAATGGGCTCAGTCCCTGCCGTCACCCCAGGCAGAACTCCT